TATTTATTTAATGATTAAATGTGTATATAATTTAATGTTTATATGTTAAAACCCAACCAAAAATAACATATACAATATATTGATTAAACATAAAAAATCCAATCAAAATTACATATATAATTTAATATTTATATGTTAAAATGCAATCAAAAATAACATATACAATATACTGATTAGACGTAAAAAATCCAACCAAAAATAACGTATACAATATACTGATTAGATGTAAAAAATCTTATCAAAAATAATGTATATAATATATTGTTTAGACGTAAAAAATCCAACCAAAAATAACATATACAATATACTAATTAGACATAAAAAATACAACCAAAAATAATGTATACAATATACTATTTAGACATAAAAAATCCAACCAAAAATAATGTATACAATATACTAATTAGATGTAAAAAATGCAACCAAAAATAACGTATACAATATACTGATTTGACGTATAAAATTTAACAAAAATTACATATAAATTATACTGATTAGATATATAAATTCAGTATTTTTTTGCATACGGAAAAAGACGATTTTCAGTATCTAGTATATGGAAATATTTATGAATTTATTATACTGTTTATCTACGTTTATTATACGTTTTTTAAACGTACTTTCCTTATACATATTATTTATAAGGAATTTATTTAGTAATATATAGAAGAATTCATTAAAATAAAAATAAAGTTTTATAAAAAAGAATATAATTTAGCAATAATTTTAGATAAATTGATCATTATCTAATAATCACTTGAAGTTATAATTAATAAATTATTTAAAAAAAATTTGTGAAAAAAATGGTATAATTAAATAACTATAGATGATATTAATATAGAAAATCTTTATTAGATAAGATTAAGTAATGTTTGTATGTGGGTTTAAACATTTTTAAAAAGTAATTTTAGATGAAATTATTATTAAATCCTTTAAAAATGTAGTTTATCATATTCTTTGAATAGATTAGATAAAAGTATAAATAAGATTTTATAATATTGTAAATATCAATAGTAATAATAGTAATGAAGTAATAGTATTAATGATGATATTAATAGTAATTATAATAATAGCAGTAATAGTAATAATAATACTATTAATAATAATGGTAAAAATATTGATGGTGATAAATTTTTTTAAATAAAATATATGAATTTTAATATTATTAATTAAATATTTAGTATTACTTTATTTTCAAATATTACTTATTTTCAGATATTAATAAAACATGATAGTGTTTATTTTTGGAAAATATGTATATTTAGAGAAATATAATAAATAAAAATAGATCAAATTTAGTATAATTAAATTTTTAAAAGTTAATAATGATTATAATTAATTTTAAAATTAAAAAAAATCTAATATACTAATATATTTATTTAATTTAAGAAAATAATATTTAAATGTTACTTTTTAAAAATGAAAATTTAATAAAAGGATTTTTTTAATAATAAAAAAAAATATTATTAATACAAGTTTATCTTATTAAAGATTTTATAACTTAAAAAGCTATTAATATTATCAGAATTGTATAGTAAAAATATATAAATTTACTTTATATTTATAAATTTAGTATGTTTTAAAATAAAAAAAAAAAAACTTTAAATATTATAGATTTATAATATTGCTATTAAAATTTAATTTTATTATTATAAATACTATTAAAAGTAGTAAAATAATACAAATTATAAAAAACATTCCAGGAAATTTATTTTTTGAATGGTTTATATAAAATATCTCTCTTAATACTAATTCTCAACTCAAATTAATTGCTTTAAATTTAGCTCATTCCGGAATTATAAATTTAGTCAGAATTTACAAATTTTTTGTAATCATCCTAAAATCAAATTGATAATTTGTTATTCGATTAAATAATATAGAGCAGAGATGTGCATTGGATGGCCTTTCTATTTGGCATTGTAAACTTCCAATTCTCTTTTTAATACATATTGTTTATACATACATGTATGTTTTTATGTGCATCAATAATTTCTATGTCCAAAGTGCTGCCGAACTTCTCATGCACATCATGCATTTCTTAAAATATGTTGAGAGCAACTTTGTCCAAAGTTTAGGGGTGATTTACATACACGTACTTTTGAAATAGGAAATTTTATCATTAAAGTTATAATATCTCGAATTTCGAATGTCAAAAATAAAGACTATATGAATTATAATAAACTTCTTCTTTTTTTTTTTATCTAGTATTCCAATGTTCTTATCTGAAGTACTGTAACTTGATATATGACATTAAATTTGTCGACAAAAATAAGATCTTGATTTTACAAACTGATAAATAAAAAAATATTTTACAATACCCCATTGCGTTATTTATCTATCACACAAGTGTTTGTTGAACCATATTTTCCACCCTTATATGTCGAGTGTTTAGGAAGAAAACTCACCAGTATTAGTATATTAGCATGTATAATAAGTATATGAATATAATTTATTGGTGCATAAATATACACAATTTAAATACTGCAAGTGATATTTAGGAAAAAGGATAGATATCCAAAAGTTTTTTTTGGATAATCCGATAAATTATAAAAATGGCATTTTGAGAATTGAGTTAAACCAAGTTCGATACAATAATATCATCTGATGCCTACTATTTATAAATAAGCATCCAAAAAGCAGCAGAAAAAAAAATTTTTTTTTTTTTGTTCCCATTTGGATCGATGTAACAAACAAACATTTTTTGACGGTGGCGTTTATGATTAAAATTTTGATAAGGCTTACAGTAAAATGAAAAACTTTTTTTTTTGCTTTAGCGCATTTACATAGGAACAGATCGACACATGATAATATTGTTCACATGAAAATAGATTCAAAACATAGAAGCAGTAATTTTGCCAATAATAAACATACGGAAATATCAGGGAATATTTTACAATTCATAATGGTTTGTTGTAAAAAAATTTTTTGTTTTTCTTCATGTAATCCTCGGCTTTGCAATACATTATATTTCGCGATAAGTTATCAGGGATCAAACATTATATGTCTCATCTATTTTAACGAATTTGTGTCGAACATTTTCGGTAATTTGTTATCTGCAATATATTAAATAATTTCTTTCCTTCGTTAGACAAAACGCACAAATAAATCGCGAACCTCCTCACAATTTAGGTTTAAATTCCTCAAAATGTACTTTATCATTGAATAATGGATCGCGACGATAAACAAATCTTATTTATTTATATTCAGGAATTCCAAAAAAGAAAACTTACGTTTTATTAAAAATAACCATTTTTTTTAATGTTTCGCGTCATTAAAAAAAGAATTCTGACGAAATACAAATTATTTACTTTTGTGACACGACAAGTTTCCTTAAAATTGCTACGATAAGACGGCGCATGCAACGTTTGAATTATCACAAGTCGTATGGTATGGCAAGGGGGATAATAACAGATTTTATATATACATCGCAAGAAAAAGACCGAGAATGCCAATCTTCTTTTGGTAGCCGAATATCTTCCCAACCAATGTGGTGAGGTTGTATCAATAATAATAACAATAAAATAAAAGATGAAGGTGCAGTGCATTCACCTAAGTACGTACTTTTCGAAGAAAAAGGGAAATAAATTTAAACTTTTGACGAATTATAATGCCGAAGAATAATAACTCCCAAATTTTTTTGCTTATTGTCTGTGAATTAATTAATGAACACTAAAGGAGTTTATCAATGGTTATAATGTCATCAATTTGCATATTGAGCATCTCAAAAAAAATTTTTTTTTTTATAGAGAATCCTCGAATGGATTTTATATTATGATCTCCGAATATGTACACAAAAATAACCTTCCTAATATATCATAAATTGGCATCATATGATTGATCATGTTCATCATGTCGTTGGGGCATTGTTTTGTTCGAACCTTTACGAGAAAATCAACATTTTCGCTTGTCGAGCTCGGAACGAGCATTTTTTTTTATTAGTTACTTTGAGAGTAGTTAACAGAATGATGCATATAACGCTTTGGATTTCAACTTCGGATTGACCTTGTGACAAAATATTTTTTAAAGTAGTTCACTTCAAATTTATCAAATTTACTGTTGTTGCATAACCTTCTTACTATTTGCCAATTCAAAAAAAAAAATGGCTTTTCTTAAACTTTTCAAATACGAAAAAGGAACCAAAAAATTTCCTTCAAAAAAGAATAGAATAAGGATGTCCTTGAGGAAATTTATTTCAAAATCATTGAATACGATTTATAGCAACAAATCGAACGATGACGGAAAACCAAGAATGATAACATCAAGAAAATATCCAAAAGATGATATCTTCACCACGACCTTTTCGCGAGAAAGTATCAAAGCACGATCTCGATCACATACAATCTCTTATGACCTGCGACCGTCCTTACACCTTTCACATCTCACGCCGGATGAAAAGACCTTTCGTCCGGTTAAAAACGTGTACGTAAAAGTAAATGTGTTTTGGGGAGAGGATCAAAATGATGAACGGTTTGGTTTAACTATTCCACGAACCGGTTCTTTCAGATCACTTAAAAAAGCTTTATCAAAGAGTCTAGGGTATGAGATGCCACATGATTTTGCTATACTTTATCATACAAGAAGGTATCGCGAGGATAATGTTATGATGAGGGTTTTGCTTGATTACTGGTTAAAGAACAGAATGTTGTGGTTGGTGGATAATGATTTCGTGTTTAGGAAACACATGTTGTTGTGGAGGGACCATATTGAAATAACCATTGTACGAAAATCGATAATTTATTAATAATTGCGCCATGTATATAATTTAATAAAGTTTTCAAATTCTGTATTTTATTTGTTGAAAAATTTATCCCTTACAAAGTTTCATTATTCGCTCAATGCGTGTAATAGAAAAATCGACATACAGTAATTGACAAATGGATGTAATCATAAATCCTAGCTTATTTGTTTATTATCTAATTATTATTACTATTAGTGTTTTTTTTTATTTTTTTTTTAATATTTTTTTTTTTTTAGCATAATTAATTAAATTAAAAAAAGTATCAATTAAAATAGAATTTTTTTTAAAAAAATTCCTTGAGATAAATAAATAAATATTAAAAAAATGCTCTATTATTTGTTATTACTGTATCTATACTTTTTTTTTTTTTTGTAAAACCAGTTCACAAATAAAATTTAACGTTCTATTAAATTTTTCTATTCGTAGACAATTTTTTTTTTTACAATATTAATGACAAAAAAGCTTCATAAAGATTGCTTCTCCGCATATCTAGCACCAATAAAGGCACCAAATATTACGATGGAAATCAACACAGCATTTAACGCACACAATCTAGCCCAATAACTTGTATTCTTCTTCTTACTCATCACGTATAAAGTTCCAAAATACCATAAAGGAAAGAAACAAAATCCAAATATATAACATTTTTTCATGAATGACCAAGGTACTTGCTTTTGCCCACTTTCAAGGTCGCTAATTGAAAATTCCGGCAATAACGTCCGATTTGGATTAGAATATTCGGATGTGGGTGATTGGAATTCGTCATATAAGGTTAAGTCTGATGAGGAATTATTATTTTCTTCGGAAGGAATGTTATTCACATTGTATTGTTCGCTAGGAACTATAACTTGTGATTTATTTTCGGATGAGTTGATGTTTGGTTGTGTCATTTTTTTTCTTGTTTTTTTTTTGGATTAAAAAAAAAGGTTGGAATTTTTTTGGGGGGTAAAGTTGGAATAATAATATATGACTTGTTCCCAATCTAATAGCTTTTGCACAGCACGACTACTAAAATGCTCCGGCGGATTTCCTCTTCTTTTTATAATGATTTAATCTTGAGAACAATTCACAAAAGGTTCTAATTATAGAGTTGAATACAAATTTATTTGATCCAATTGATCGGAATGTTTAATAAGATCAGCCTCAGACAAAGGAATCTGAACAAGGTCTAATCCAAATTGTGCAAATTGTGTCACATGATTTACATTAATATCGTCAATAACAAAGGATTTTCTTGTATGTTTTTTTTTTCTTTTCTTTATTAAAGGAAAAAAATGAAAGAAAGAAAGAAAGAAAGATGAAGCGTGTATAATGAAATCATTCATGTGCATTACATACCTGCATGCGTTTCCTTTTTGGGGTTATGACCGGGCAAAAACAAAGAACGCAACGATTTTTTTTTACCTTACAAATTTATTTTACATTTTACAAAAGAAAAACACTTTCCTTTTTGTAACTTTTTATTTATATTTCAATAAATCCTGTGCCTTATGCGGGAAAAAAACTACTTCGTACTAAACTAAATTTGTTATCAATGCAACATTGATTAAATTTAGCAGATCTTATTGGTTTTTTTTTAAAAAAAAACAAAATGAAGGGAATTATTTGAATTCATTGTAACATAACCATAACGTGGAAATAATCTATATTATCTGATTTTTGAGCACAATGAATGAGTTCAAGATACCTTTTTGTCATGTCGAATGAAAATCACTCTGTATCTATCACCTGACCACTAAATCGTCAAATTCATTCCCCGAATATATTATATTAAAAGTGAGCATTTTTAACCTTTGGAACATATTGATTCTTCAATGTATCACCACTTTCTTCCTTTTTTGTATATATTCACCCTTTTTTTTTTTTATTCTTATTGAATAATTTATTGAGTGCACCAAATAAATAATTTTAATGAATCCATTATGTACATTCTCAATAAATGACATGCAGAATAATGTGAAATGGCATCAAATTAGAGAAATAAAAAAATTTTTTTTTATTTTTAAAGAAAAAAATAAAATAAAAAAAACTGGTTAAATTATCGGAATTTTCGCATTAAAAAAAAAAAATATTTAAGGAACAGATACTATATTTAGCAATTTTTTTTTAATTAGTTCTATCTCTACCGATTTATAATATTTCTTTTGTGACACATTATAATTATTCCCAATTTTCCTTAATTTTTTTCCTCAGAATAACAAAACTGTTGGCGTTTTCTTGTGATCCATAATATTTACTTATCACATTTATAATTTCATAAAAAAAATTAGAAAGAACGTCTCGTCTGTATTACATGTATCTTTTAGGAATCAAAATGTCAAATAAAACTCACGATCAAAAAACGTTTACGCGTATAAACAATTCCGCGCCAATTTGAGGATTCTAAAAAAAAAAAAATGGAAAAGAAAAAAAGAAATAGAGAGGTCAATTCGTAAAAAAGAATGATCAATAATAATGGTCATCTATCATTCATTTTCCGTTGAATGGCTTCTTTCAACATGAGAAAATTAAGATATTTACAAATTAACAATGGACGAATAAAACTTTTCTTAGTTAATAAAGTGGGAATTCTTTATAAATACATAAAAAGGTCAATTATCAATTCGTTGACGAAAATCTTTTTAAAGAAGCAAAAATATGATTCAACTTGACGTGTCAAACTCACCTAACTAACAAACAAAGTTAACCAAATTTCATTAGAAAGTAACGACATCACGTTCGAGGCTATTAGAGCTGTATGATTCCATTCTACAAAACGTATTTTACTCTAATTTCTCGATTAATTTTTATCAATGGAAGAGCAAATGATGTCTAAATGCGAAACTTACCAAAACACCGCTGATAACTTATCGAGTAAATTATTTGATGATAGATTTCGGTTAGAATCTAATCAACCTTAGAGCTACAACGGGAACAAATGGGTCAATATTTTTGAAGGATACGGATGTTTAGAGAAACAAATTTATGGCGGTCCAAAGAACGAACCAATATGTTATTAGAAGTGTGATATTAAGTTACAGATAACGAATGAAAACCATAAAGAAAAAAAAGTAAATTGTTATCAAAGAATGCAAATTTCTTCCATTATAATCGTTCAGAATCTAAATCATTTAGAGTTTGTAAGTTGGTAATATAAAGATGGGACTACTTAATATAATTAGGATAATTAGGGTAACGAAGTCTAGTTTGTGAATTACCAACTATTTGTTATTCTAATTTCTTTTACAGTTTCTCTCTCTTTATTTTACTAATTACCGATAAAAATAAATAATAAAATTTTTTTCTCTTATTTCTTTTCTTTCTCTTTTTTTTTTTTTAAGAAAAAAAAGAAAAAAATGTGATTTCATTCTAGTGCATCATGATTGATGTGGATGATAATTTGATATGATCGAATTCCCATGATACTTTAAAAGGCAAAATTGATTTTATCAAATCTACAAAAATAACATAAATTCGCGTTCCCTGTCACTTTTAACAATAGTGCATGCATGTATTATCAGCATTAGTATTGTAAGTATTGTACTTACTGGGTCGATCATTAGCTGATCCCGATCCTTGACATTTCTTTTGAAGTTATAAAATTTTTTTTTATTTTTTTTAAATAAGTAAAATAATATTTTATATTTTAAATGTGTGATCTTATTATTATAAATAAATAATTAAAAAAAATTTTCGATCCAAAAAAAAGATAATTTTTTTTACATTTTGAAACAAAATAACGTATTCATTTAAATCATAAGGAAATGTATCAAAATTAAGAAAATGTTGTCAAGGTGAGATTATATAGTTTAAAAGGGATAAGATAAGTAAATCGCGCGAAAATAAGTAATTATGTATATAGATTTAAGAAAAAAAAAGAAATACAAAAACGATAATAACAAGGAAAAAAACAATTATACTGCATCGCGCAGCTGATAAAACATATAAAAACAATTATACCGAAAATATTTATACTAAATCGATAAATAATGTAATGTATAATCGATGGTAACGATCAACGCCAGGTTGATACCAAAGATTTCGATAACGTATTAATGAGAGACATGACTTAAAGCACGACTAATGTAAGGTTGTAAACTCATGTTTCTTTAGCTTCATAATTGGCAATAAAATTGGTTGAACGACAAATGTTTAGCTAATAAAAAGAAAAGAGATTCGGTTCATTATTATAAATATATATTTATCAATTACGTGGAAAAATCACAGCGTAACAACTTACCAATTTATTTACAAGATTATTCTAACATTAAGCCGCGTTCAATTCATGTCTCCATCTGCCATTTTTTCATTTATATCTTTGTCCGATGACAAAGGGATAGCTATTTCGTTTTGCTATGAGTGTGAACTTGAGGGAAGAAACTAGGGTTTTTATAAGCATTTGAGATGCCACGAATTTTTGTTTACGTTAATTGATTTCGCCGTTTCTATTTATAGTTTATATCACAAATTTCACACAAGTTTTATTTTCTGAAAAAAAAGAGTTAAATTATAGTGTGTAACTTATCAAAAGATGAATTTATCTTATAAATGGTAAAACTATACAATAATATAATAAGTATCAAAACAATATGCATTACAAAACATTTTCTTTTAGGTTAAGAATGCTTTGAACTATATGCTTTTAGAGGTCCCATGAATCATCTCCCTTCAAAATGATGCGGTGCTCAAGTAGTTTTTTTTTTTTTTATACAGTTCTGAATTTGGATAAATTTATTTATCACGCTTAGTCGGTCGTATGGATTTGATTGTACATGAACAATGGTTAAAATTTTATTTTCTTTCGATTGAATAATTCATTTTTACATTTGCATTATTTCAACACGATAGATTTTCTCCTTGCGGTGTCAAAAATATGCTTACTGTGCTTACTGTGCTTTACTGTGCCAACTCTGTTGATGAATGTGTTACCATTTGCCGCAATTCCATATATAGAAATATCGGAATCATGTAAGTCAATTTCCGATATAATTTGATCGTATTCCTAGTTATTTATATTCTCTTAACTTTAAAAAATAATTCATTACATGGAACTCGATCAAACTCTTCCATCTTATTTACTAAACACACCGTTCGATTTATATAATCGGAAGACATACGATGTTATTTCGCTTCCATCTAAACTAAACAAATCTGATTGTGCCAATGAATTAACCATTGAAGACGATGAGGTGACAATGTTTTATAATGGTACAATCATTAAGTTAATTTATGGTTTAATATTTCTGAGTTGCTTGTAAAACAAAATTAAAATAACAATTAAAATAAAAAAAGTGGGAGGTACACACTATAGTTATACGGCGGCTGCAGTTCGTGCGAATAATCCCTTTCCAGTAGAAGCAGGCCTCTTTTACTTTGAGACTTATATTATCAATCAGGGCTTGTATGGGTGGGTATATCCGTATTTGTTAATTTCATCTATGCTGTATATATTTTATTTTTATGCTTTACTTCATTATTAGGTTAATCGGAATTGGCATGGGTGATGCCAATGTAACTTTAAATGGACAGCCGGGTAATCCTCATTGTTTTTAATTTCAATTTTTTTTTTAGAATTAATTTTTCTTTCTTTATGTAATTAATATTAATTGGTTTAGGTTGGTATAGGAGGTCATATGGGTATCATGGAGACGATGGAAAAATGTTTATGTCAAATGGTTTCGGATATGAGTATGGCCCTTTGTACACAACCAATGATGTAATTGGTTGCTGTGTGAATTTTTTTGACAATAGTTGTTTTTTTACGAAAAACGGACTTCATTTGGGTAAATTTTAAATTACCTTATGGTTACATTTAAAAAAAAGATTTTTTTCATCTCCTTTTCTTCAGGTGTTGCATTTGATGATATTCTTGGTGGTAATCTGTATCCCATATTTGGAATGAGAAATCCTAGAGCACGTATTGAAGTAAATTTTGGACAGAAACCTTTTGTTTTTGATATCGAAACATATGCAAAGGTATGAATGATCGAAATATTCATCATTCATCATCAGCTTTTTCATCATCAGTACTAAATGTTCAATTGTTATTTAGAAAATGTTTCGGGTTGCAAACGAAGAGGATAAATGGGTTAAATTATCAGATGTATACACACCAATAAAATAGCTGATTAAAAAAAAAAGCAAAATATTATGTAAGGATCTTGAAGATAACCTTAAAAAAATTGCAAGAGATCTTTTTTTTTTCTTTCCTTTTTTAATATATCATTTGTAAGCTTGCATATGGTTAGGATCTTAAAAAGGACCGTATAATAACCTCCAAAGCAATACCTTTTATGTTACTAATATGCAAATCACGCAAAAAAAAAAAAAATATAATATAAGAAAAAAAAATTTTTTTTTCTTTCTTTAATCCTTTAGTATTTCACACGTATATTAAATAAATAATCAATCGATTGTTAATGTTAATATAAATAATAAAATATACAACAAATAGATTATTAATAAATGATGGATTTTCGAACAATAGTAATTTCGATCTCATCTCTCCATAATAGCATGTGTCTCCTAAACTTAAAGTCATTATCTACTAACCACAGCATTTTGTTTTGTAACCAATAATCGATTAAAATTCTCATCATATTATTCTCGTAATATCGTCTCGTATGATATAGTATGGCAAAATCAAATGGCAGCGCGTACCCAAGATTCTTCGACAAAACCTTTTTAAATGAATTGTATGAGCTAGTTCGTAAAATGGATAATTCGACTTGCTCTTTCTTATATTCCTCGCCCCAAAAGACATTAACCCTTATGTTAATACTTTTAACGGGACGACAAGTCTTTTCATCCGGCGTGAGGTTGGAATGGTGTAAGGTTGGACGCAAGTTGTAAGAAATTGATTGCGATCGAGATCGTGCTTTGATATTTTCGTGTGAGGAGATCGTGAAAATGTCATCTTTCGAGTAGATCTTTGGTGTCGCCATGGGTCTTTTTCGAAAATGCGATTTCATTTTCGGGTGAGGTTCACAAAATATTTTTGAAAGAATTTTCCTTAATGAAATTTTTGTAGTTTTTTTACTTTTGGTCCTTCTGTTATACTTTTGGATGCCTTTTTCGTTCTTGATTATTTTGCTAAGGAAAGCCATGGTTTGATTAAATTAAAGGAATTTGAAGTGTAAGGATATTAATTAGAACAATTTGAATTACTGAAGTCCAAAAAAAAAAGAAAATGCGTCGCTTCGTTTATTTTATACATTTTTTTTTTTTTTTTTTTTTTTAAATAAAGATCCAATTAAAATCCAGTCGTTCTTTCTTGTCAAATGAAATATAGGCACCAAGGTTATCGAATTCGCTTAAAACGAGAAAGAAATAGAAAAAGTTTTACTAAAAAGTACACATTTTGATCATTAATACGATAGTGTTTTGAACATGCGTATGAGGAATGTTTTAAAAGGATTGAATCACTCTTTGGATCAATTGATTTACTACTGGAAAATAATGCACACGAGTACAAAATTATTTTATTAAAACAATGTAGGAACTTTCGCATCATGATTAAATTTTAAGTTTCAAGGATAAAAAAAAACTTATTACAATAAGCGTCGTTGAATTTTTTTTTCATTTTAGATAATTGTTTAACGATTAAACTCTTAATTCCGGTTGAAAATTAGAAAATTTTCGTTGTGAATCACATGACAATTATATAACAGATTGCGGCGTTTTCAAATTAATGTGTTTTGGATAATTCTCAAATTACAAATGGTCAGAAAAAAATGACTGATTCAATTTCATTAAAGATTTAAAGATTTGTTCGGATGATGATCAAATCGTAGAACTCTCTTTTATCTCATAACAACATCGTTATTCCGAAATTACTTTTTTGCCGGGAACAAATGTAATGAAGGACACCATATGCATTGTTTTTTGTTCAATATAATTTACTGGTTTACCTAACATTAATTATTGCGGGAAATACAGCATATTGTCCGAAATGCAAATCTCGATGAATGAATTCCTTCGACATGAAATTGTTCAAGTTCATATGTAATATTGTATATATATAGGTCGGCGAAGTCGTAATCTTTTTTTGTAATGTATTAAAATCGTGCTCTGTTTTTCCATGATACAACAATGAACTTTATATTGAATAATCGTAAAGACTATCATAATTATCATCGCGATTGCCAAACCACTACTGCTGGCATTAATTAACTCCTCTTCGTTATGGTTAATTCCGGTATCATCAAACTTATAGTTTCATACAATTTCGTACACGTTATACATTTTTAATCTCTATTATTTTATGTACATGATGGTCTCGATAACTCCGAATATATTGAACAAACCAACAAAACTTTCGAATTACTCGTCAAAATTCCAAGCACGTGACAAATGATTGCGGTCTATAAGTATTGGAAGTCCTAATTTAACCCGCAATAACTCGGTCAACGGTGATCATAAAGGGATATAATATAGCTTATAGTATTCATCAGTACGAGCCGCATCGAATGGTATCATCTTTATAGGATCGAAATGTTTCTAAATTATATCATTTATAGATACCAGAAATATGAGTAAACCCATCTTTCTATGATCACAGATTACGAACCATTTTTACATGTTAAAAACATAAATTTTCTCTGAAAGTACAATTTAACATTTTTAAACATATAAAATATCAATACGTTTTGTTATCCTGTGATAGTAAAAAGATAATATTTGCTCATTTTATTTGTCATGACATACTGCATCAAATGATATTTATAGCAAGTATTATTATTATTAACAAATTAAACTAAATAAATTTCTTATCTTGATTTCTGGCAGCCAATTCTTTCTTGAACTCGAGATGCTAAATAACATAAATATTGAATTTTAATAATGATTTTCTTCGATTAATATCAATTGGAAAGTTTTATTATTCCAACCTGATCTCTTCCAAAAATGGGGTTTAGAATTGTTTCTAAAAACTTCTCTAACATGCATCCACTTTCCTTTCACATTTCTATCAGCATATAATTCAAGCAACTAAAGAATTAAAATTAAATATTATTGTAATATTATTGTTCTTTTATTTACTAGTATTTTACTTACTTACAATCTCTGACCATTCCTTTAAATTTTTTTCTTGCCTGCAACTTATTAAACACAGTTGTAAACCTTTCTTGTATCGCTACTGCAATCTCATTCTAAAAAGTCAACTTCAATCTTCTGTCTGTCCAGTAATCATTATTTCTTTCCGTTTTTAAGTTGATCAAAAGTTGCATTTCTTTATCAGACCATTCGATAATGATGGGTATTTTTGAAATTGTTATTTGATAAAATTTAAAAATTATTAATGTAAAAGATTGAACAATTAAAAAACAAAATATAATAAAACTTTCCTTATATAAAATTGTATCGAAATACAGAGGGCAGCCAAAAGTCTCCGAACACCATGTTTGATATCGTATATCTCAAGATGCACTGATCATAATTAGTTCAAAATTTCATATAATCTTGATATAATCTCAATCTATATTATATTAAAATTTCATTTAATTTGAATTAGTGGAAGCTGAGATATATATGTAAACATAAATGCATAAATATTTTTGATTTTAGATTTTAGTTAAAGTTTTTGAAATATAT